AAAACTAGAAAAAAAACTAAAAAAACTAATATCTTATAGAACCTTAGAAAATTTCTAAAAATTAGAAATTTCAAAAATCTTAGAAAATTTCTAAAATCTTTACAAAATTTATAAAATTTTATTTTTTTAGCAAATAATATGATTATGAACGCTAAGAATATGAATGGGGGATACGAGGAATTTAATAATTTTTGGAAAAATTGGATGGATGGTACTAAATTCTTGAAAAAGGTTTCTAATCATTAATATAAAAAAATAAATAAATAAATTTCAGTATAATCATTTTTTGTTGATTTTGTGTTTTGTAAGCAAATATGATCTTAAAGAAGCTGAAAATTATTGCCGTTTTGTGGAAAGTCGTATACGTTTAGAATTAATTTTTTCAATTGAAATGAATCAAAGGGAAATAAAATATACCCATTCTACTGATAAGGAAAAATGTTTGTCAAATGAAATTAAGAGAGAATATGGGTAATTTTATATTTTGGAACAAACTTTACAATCATGGAATTTTAAAGTAGATATGTAGTTTGAGAAAACCGTTGAGAGACCCTTTGTGATGAACCCTTTGCGTGATATTCTTCTTTAGGCATTTTGATGTGATTCTGATGGCACAATTTGCGTTTTGTGCCCCTAAACGGTTATTGGGCGTTTTTAGGCTCCAACCAGTTTGATATCTTAGCATCCGCTCCAGGCTACAGCATCGTTAAACTTTCTCTACCCTAACATCACTTATTAAATGCACAAATAATTATTATAAAATAATTTCAGTGGATATTATATCCAACATTGGTGGGTTGGAATTGAAACATATAATGAAATAGAAGATTTGGAATTAAACAAAAGCTATGAAGAATCTAATATTTTAACAAAATTCGCTGATAAAATTAAAGAAAGAATGCCCGTTATTTTGTCAAGAACTGGAGGAAATCTGGAGTTATTTTATTATAATTTAGAAGATATTAACAAAATAATGATTGAATGTTGAAAAATAGATGAAATTGAGTTTTGAGATTAATAAAATAATTTTTGCTACTATCACATTATTTCATCACATATACTTTATTCTGAGAAATTCAAATGATAAGCCAAATAAAATTGATAATTTTTATTGCGAATAATTGTCGTATTTATACATATAGCGTGTGCCACGCTCAGCTTAACCTCTATTGATAAAATTAAACGAGTTTCCCGAAAATATTTATTTATTTTAAACAATGATAAAAAATGAAGGGGATAACAAATGAAAGGAATGAAGTGGAAAGCTCAAAGCAAGACAAGAAAGGAACTGAACTGTGAAAAAAGGCGGCTGGAAAGTAAAATGAGTGAATATTTGTGAGGGATGTGGCATAATATTTTTTTATTCTTTTATCTGTTCATTACAACTACCTGCTCTCTTTTGTTGGCCCACCAACAATTCAAAATACAATTAAGTTCTTTAAAATGTTGCTCTAGTGTGGTTTTGCACAAGCTCAGAGACAACACCGATGGGTTTATGATTTTTGGATTTGACAAGATCCGTGTTTCAGCCCATTGGCAAGTTTAGATAATTCGGCTATGCCCAGTTCTTGAGCCAGATTCAATTCAGAATGTATTATCTCTTAAATAATTTATAAAATAATAGTAAGATTTATTTGAATAGATTTTATGATATAATTTAATTAAAAAAATATTTAGCAAAAATGTTTTTTTTTGTTTTAGCTTATTTCATCATTCCACTGAATTGTAACTCTAAATCCTTTCATGTTTCAGTAATAAAAGAATCTTCTCAGTGCTATTCAAAACTAAAAGGAAATTTAAATTAGATTCCTTAAATTAACTAATTAATTTATTTAAGAATCACCCACTATACTTCTAAATATACCAATTTTAAAACTATTTATAAATCATTATCATTTTCAAGTGGTTTAAAATGTATATAGCGGAAATTGTGTACCTCTCGTTTTATTTTAGGTTACCAGCTTTGAGATCCGATGTCTGGGATCTCAATAGATCCGATATCTCGGATACCTTTAAATAAACTTACTCTTTTTCAATGTTTCCATTTTCCCAATCATTTCTAATTTCATCGCTCTAGATGTTTTAGTTTCATTATCAGCCACAACATCAAAGTCGTTAGAGAAGAGGTGTTTTAAAAAGTTAATGCATTGATCCAAAACAGTAATATGCTTATTCATTATTCCAATCAAACTCTGTTCAGGTTCTAGAACATTCAAAACATTCAGAATTTCTTTCATCAATTTTTCTTCGGTTGTTCTTTGAAATGTCATATTTTTCAAACTTTCCTCCTTTTCCTCATCTGTCAAGTTGTTGCCAGCCATTTTGTACTTTTCTAGCCTAACTTTTTCATCATACAAATCAAGTGCTTTTAGAAAAAATTCACTGTGATTTTCTTTAAGGTTATCATACTCGGCAAGCTCCAAGATAGTTTTAATCCCGTTCAAAAGTATATATTTTTTGAATCCAGGATTCAGTTTGAATTTTGTGACTGTGGGCTGATCACCTTGGATCATATTCACAAATTCATGAAAGTATTTTGAATGTATCCCTGACATCTGCAGAGGAGATTTAGTAGTGATTGCTTTACTCAATGCATTCATTATGTATTCTTCTTCGCCTACATCATATTTTGTAGCAATTTTGTCTTCGAGCTTATAATGCTCGTTAGCATTCGCATACTGCGCATTTTGCTCCAGCACTTTTTTGTCAAGCGTTGCCGGATTAACAAATTGTTTCTGGTTTTGTGAGACAACTACAGACTGGGGATTATTGTGATTAGCCATAGCCAAATGTACCGGTCCATTGTTAGAGCTTGCTGACGAATTTGCTTTTAAAGTTGATCCATTTCGGTTTTGTGCAACTCTAGCAGCGTTGTGATTAATTGGAAATTTTGCTAAATTAATAAATTAAAAATTTAGGAAAGAAGAGAGATCCAGTAGTCTAAATAGCATTTACAATTGCGGAGGTTTAAGATCTATTAAAGGAGGAGGTGGATGCAGCCCCCGATAGCTCAGTGGCAGACACGGTTACTACGTGTTGAGCGAAATACCCAAGCAATAACTGCCAGGAGATTGTAGGAATACTACCAGCAGCTAAACTTCTACCTCTCCCAAACTAGAATTTGTAAATTTTGTTAAAATGGATCACCTTGTAAAGGGGAGTACTCCAGGAGTACTCCAACAGGTACTCCTCGTGTAGCACGTAGAATAAAAATGTGGGTAACTAAAGCTACAAACTGACAGCTGCTCAACATTTTCATCGAATTGAATGTCCTCATGATTCTTCTTTTAATTCAGTGAAATATTAAAATTAATTTAGTTTTAAATTATTAAATTTAAAGCTGGATTTCCATGAAAAGGAGAATTTTAATTATGATTTTTCTTTGAAATTAACCGCGTATTTTTTCCCCTTTTTTGGATGGGAGTAGCTAGCGCCGCTCTGGGCGGTTTTTTAATTTCAAAATTATATTTCCCTAATTACCCTTGTATTTTTCTTTGAGCATTCCCTTTCACGCTAAATTCACACTACATTTGTTAAGAAATTACCGACTCAAGACTGTCAATAGCGGAAGTTTTGAAGTTGATGAAAAGTGCATTTAAAGGTGAGTTATTGCATCATTTATTGCATCATATATTGCATCATATTTTGAAATATGAACTTCTAAATGCATGAATATTCACGTGAAAACATGAAAAGGATTTACGATTTCATGTGAATTTATTTTAAATAAACAGCAAGTCCAACATTTCAAAATAGGCAATGAATCCTGCCCTAAATCACTAGCCATTCTCTAACATTAAAGAGTATTTCATATTGTCTGTTTTTATTTAAAAGGGCAATCTCGTTGAAAGGGCATTCTTAAGGTTGTAAATACGGGATCCGTTTCATTGAAATCACCCATCATTTTCAAGAAAAGCAAATCCAGTCTAAAAAACCAGCCAAATCCAGCTTCAACGAAAACAATAAGGTAACTCCCATGAATATTATACGCCTTCTCCCCGTTACCTTACTAATTGTTTTCATGGAAATCAAGTTCACAAACAGCGTTTTGACCAATTATACTCCTCGATCTGGTTGTTATTTTAGATTTATTTTAAATGTTTTATTCATAATTCCACTTATGTATTTAAGCAATACCAAATATCAGTAACGAAAGGATGGATTTGAAGAAAAAAGTTATCGGAAAGCAACTGTCACTTCCTACAAATGTGACACTTCCAGCAACTTCTTCAAAATATATTTCAAAAAATAAGTCTTGCAGCCATATGTCTGTAAATAACTGTTTGGAGCCGCCACCAGTGATTATTCGAAAGGACAAAACTTTGGATAAAGTGTTGTCGAGCGAAAGGACCTTGGATGAGATAAATCGAAAAAATGAAATTTTGCCTAAATTGGATATTTCGGAAAATGAAGAAGTGTTGAAGAAGAAAACTTTAAATTCTGAAAATTATAAAATTGATAGATTGCCAAATAACTATCATCCACTCTTTCCATATGATCTTATTGAAATAAGAACCAAGAAGAATGAAAAAAATTAAATTGAAACATAAATGCATTAGAATTAGAAACTGGACTGGAAGTGTTGTGCGAGAATTGAAACGATTCTTGATATCTCCAAAGATCGAGACGAGGTCTAGAATAAAAAATTTATTCTTAAAGATTTGATATTTTTAAAGATAGCTCATACAATCCTTTGCGTCATTCCGAGTCTGGTCTCGATAACCAAAATTTTTGACTCTAATTAGAAAATTTTAAAATATTTTTTGATGTTAAATGTTTTAGAAAATTATGTATAAATTAAATAAATATATTTATTGCAAAAATTAACATACATAATAATAAAAAATAGGTATAGAAAATAATTTTTAATGACAAGTGAGATTACAGAAAATTAAATAATAATTGGACAAACAATTATTAATTCAGGAAAAATTTTTAACGAAAAAATTTTTCAGTTTAGCTTGAGCAATATTTTCTACTAATAATTATTTTCCTCAATTCTAGACATACCACTCTTTAAATTCTCTTTTAGGTTGTTGAGCTTCTCTTGAAATTGCAATTGTTTCTCGTGGAGTTCTTCCATTATCTTGAGCTAATATTGTTGTGAATCTTGCACCAGATCTTTCAGTAAATCCAACATCCGAAGCGCTGTTTCCATTCCCTATTGTTCCACTTCCATTACGTAATAAACTTTGGGTTGAACCCTTTAAATTATTATTTTTTGTAATTAAAATATTTCAATTTATAATATGATGGTCAGGATTCTATGTAAAATTATTCTATGTATAACCAGTGATGGAAAGGTTCTTGGTTCCGGAACCGTGCGGTTCCCGAACTGAAACCGGTTCCAGAGAAATTATGAAAGTTTTCCATCACTAAGTACAACTTCTATTTATAACTCAAGGCTTTTTGGGGTTTTTGTTGGGGTACAAGTAAGTGGGTGGGCGGTTTATTCTTTTATGTAGGTGGTGTTTGATTGTCGAAAAACTTGCTGAAAAAACCCCAACTCGACTTTGGTTTCTAATTGAGGTAAATTTTTATTTTGTTTTGAGCTGATTTTTTAAGCAGGTTTCGACTTCGAAATTAAATCGATTTTGATCTGGTTTCGAAATTAAGGCGTTTAGATAGACAAAAACATGGTCGCTCATTAAAAATTATTTGAACTATTACCACAAGAGTTCCAACATGAGCACCAACTCCGTTATTATTACTTTCGAATTCTCTCATTTGATGGTGCTGAACCTGGGGAGAGAATTCATTAGGAGGAATTGGTGTATATCCAGATTTTAGGCCATTAGTAGATGATTGTCCAATTGTCCCTCCTTGACCTCCTCCAGCTGCCGCTGCTGCCATTTGAGCACAAATCTGATGTGGGCGTTTAAAAAAGACACAAAGTAATATGGCACCAAGCATAACAACAATACTAAGTGATCCGACTAAAAATACAAGAAAAATAAAATGTTAACTTTTCACAAATACCTCCAATCAAAAATTTTTTATCGTTGCCTAATTGATTGTTTGAGGTAGAAGGAACCATTGTCTGAAAATATTTTATTATCTTTTAATGGTAAAAACAAATGCAATAAATGTGTACTAGTTAAGGTCAAGAAGTCGGATATATCCGCAGAAATCCAAATATCAGAGAATAAGGGCAAATACGGATATAAATCTTGAATGAGGAGAAGGATACTTGCAGAAATATTGTGGCGGATAAGATCAATATGTGACACGGATATAAACGGATATTAAAGTTTGTGATCGTAAAATGCCAGGCTCTGTTATTAAGGTATGATAATAGAGTAAATATAATTTATCGAGAGATTCAGTTTCAGAATTAGTCTCATAATCTCGACGATATTTCACAGAAAAAATTGGTCGAGATTACCAAAGATTCTCATGTTTAATCCAATCTCTTTTCCTGATATCAAATTATTTATTAACATACAGTAGGAGTATTTCCGTATTGAGAAGCTCCGTTCATTGGGGTCGTTGGTCTAACGGCATACAAAGTCGGATCATTAGGATCAACAGGAAAGCGGGGAGCTATAGTTTTTCTAGTTGTTGTACTAGTTGAAGGCTTTGGAGTTGGTGCTAAAAATTTTTAAATTTTTAAAAATGAATGTAAAAAAAGATTTTTAAAAAGAATTTTACTGCAAAATTAAAAAAACAGTTTTAAAAGTATGTAGAATGAATTTTATTTAGGAAGAGAGATAAATAATTTAGCAAATCCGTTTAAAGAAGTGACTTTCTTTCCTAGAAATGTGAACTACTTTGTGCTGAAACATTAAAGAAAGTAAAGTAATAGAAAAGAATAAAGTTACAGGTAGTTTTTTAAAGTATTTTCCTCTAATTGATGGTCGATTCGATAAATTGTAATTAATAGAAAAATACGTTAAGTACCTATCAATTAGAATGGACTGGAGCTGTCTTACACGATATCTGGAAAAATCTCGATCTAGCTTATCAAAATACTATAATAGGCAGCTAAAGTATCGATCCGGTTCTATTTAAAAGCTAAAGAATTAATAGTTGTCTGTTCATTGAAAATCTTCTGATATCAGCAGTCGATAACCGAAAAATCGGTTCATGGCACGTTAAGGTTCCAAACCGAAATATTAGCTAGGAGACGCTCAGCTGTTCTCAGTAGGAGATTCATTAATCTATAAAAATAATCAACTTAGGTTTCTATAGGAATATTATATACATTTTAAAAGAATAATTTCAAAGGTAAATTTTTAACATGATTTTGTAATTTGTGAAATTTTAAAAATAAAATTAAAAATAAAATTTTAAATTATAGAAATTAAATAAAACAAAATAAAACAAATATGTTATATTATTATTAAAAAAGCACACTGCAATCAAATTATAATTAAATTCCATTGTTTGAATTAGGGTACAGCAAATTAACTGAAACAGCATATTTTCAACGTCTAATGCGTGAAAATTTTATATTATACATATAACTAAAAGTATAATTCGTAAAAATAATCGGATAGAAGGATGGATCAAATAAGGTTTGAACGGGAGGGAAGGGGAATGGCAGATAATCTAGAGTTGAGCTTTCCATTGTATCAGATTTAATAATACATTTAACCTCTATATAACTGCATACTTCGATATAAAAATGGAAGTGAATTTCGTTATTAGAGTTTAAAATTTGGAAAATGCCGGATATTGCTACGGGATCAATCGTTTTATCCGGACTGGATTTTCGGGATCTTTTTAGCATTAATAACTTAAAACAAGAGAAGTTTAGTGGTATAAAGAGGGATATTGGCAGATTTAGGAATGAAATGGAATCGTTATAGAGGTCTTTATTTTGACCTTATTTTTTTAAATGTATCCAGCAGCACTATAGCACTTTAAATATTTTACTAATAAAAACAAAATTGAAAATATGTATGGGTTAAATAAAAACTACAGAAATGAGAACATTTAATATAAAATCTAGATTTTATTTTTTGTGAATAAAAATTTAATAAAAAATTAAAGGGAAAACAAAAAAACATTTTGTGCAACAAAACGGAAATTTTGTTTAGGAAAGAAAGTCAATTCTTTTAAGCGAATTTGTGTAAGTGAGAATTAATATTGAGGGTAAATTGTGCTAATTTTTAAAAGTTTTTCTAAATTAATATTACCTATATTTTTTCAAAAATTCAGAGGGGCATGGCTAGAATTACTCATTGATACTCACTCCCATTTTAATAAGATCTCTATTTATTAATACCTTATTTTCTAATATTACCGTCCATACAGGGTTGCCGCCCGAAACCCGGCATTTTTTTTGTACCCGAAACCCGATACCTGAAAAGAAAATTTTCCAACCCCAAACCCGTACCCAAAAATTTTTTGTACCCGCGGAACACTGATCCAAAATAACCCCATTATGTACCCACTATTTACCCTTATTTGGAAATTTATCAGGATTCCCCGTTCAAATTTCAAAACTCGAATGATTGCCCTCCCTTGATTAATTATCACTTTCTAAAGTTAAGTTAAAAAATAAAATAATTACACAGTGTAATTATAAAAAAAAATACGGTAAGTTAATTTAGATAAGATGGACTTGTCTAATGGACTTTCAACTATTTTTTATAAATTTTTTATTAATTTTGCAGTAATATTTATTAATTTATATTTGATTACCAAAAGTAAAATGCAATCCAGGCTTAATACCCGGATCGACCGTAAAACGTTGTAAAGGCATTTCTGTTGTTTTATGAGTAACTTTAGTAAAGGCAGTTGAAGGCGAAGAAGGGGAACTTTTTGAAGTTTTAGTTGTTTTTGTTTGTTTTGTTTTTTCTTTAATTTTATCTTCTCGTTGGATAATTTTAGGCCTCAATTTTTCCCATTTTTTCAGTCCATCAGAACCAAGTCTTCTTCCATCAGGCCAAGTTCTGGTTCTCATAGGCCAACCTCCTTTTGGAATATAATTTTGTCTGGAGTTTGATTCTTCTTCTTCTTTCTCCTCTTCTTCCCTTTTTGGACCTTCTTCATCTTCTTCAATTTCTCTTCCTTTTTCTTCTTTTTGTTTCAAATTAATTCTGTGCCTATTATGATACCCCAAAGTTTTTAATAATTTTTCTTCTCGATCATTTAATGTTTCTGAGGATGAGGGGCCATAATACTCATTAGATGTTGATGTACTTTGAACGTTATAATTGTCGGAATTCATTAAATTTAATTCGGAAGAAAGCAATTTTGATGATTTTGGCTGAATTGGAGAAGCCGATGGAATTGAAGCTAGTTTAGTAAAATATTTGTTAGTTAAATTTTGTTTAAATTTTAATATGTATATATTTTTTCAAGTTTAAATTTTTAATTTGAATAACGCACTAAATCTAATCTCGAATATTAATCAGATAGCATAAATTCTGGTTGGGTTTCCGGTTTTGAGAGGTTTTAGACCCCTGTTCTCATGTTCTGATTTAGTTAACCATTTGTTTTCAACCCTATAAATCTCTTAGAAATGACTAATAACCAAGAATCGAATTTATATTGACTATCAATCAGAAAATATGAAAAAAATTACTGTAGTATTTAAAGTTAATATTTACTGCTGATAACTCAAAAACGAAATTATTCTATTAAAATTCTAAAATATTTTTTTGCACTTTTCAGAAGAGGCCTGGAAATAAGGAAATCAATATAAATCCGATCTTTACTAATAAAATCATAAAGCCTTGGTGTCCCTAAAAAGTAAATAAATAAAAAGAATAATTTTTTTTACTTCTTAAAGTACATGTACATATAGCTTAAAATATCCATTTATTTTTTATAAAATCTCTTTTAAAAGAAAATAATTGTTGAAGGATCTAAAGTTTATTTTACTCTCAACATAAATAATTAAACAAAAAATGTTTGTTTCTGCAAATATCAATTATAAATTTAATTGGAAGTTTTTTTTATCTTTTTAAAAAATTTAAAATATTTTTTATTATTTTTAAAGTCAATTAAAATAAATTTTTAAAAATATTTAAAATAATTTTATTAATTTTTAATTTTATTTTGATATTTTTCCGAAGGTTTTTGTTCATTTAGTTAATTTAACATGAACAGGCGAAAAAATTTTTTTATTAAAAGTGCAAATTTAGTTTTAATTTTGAAAAAAAACAATAAATGTAGGGGATAAGATAGAGATAGGGATAAGATGGATGTCTAGGATAAGATGGGCAATAATATAATATTAAATTAAAAAAGGTGAAAAAAAGAGGAAAGATGGAAGAAAAAAGAGGAAAGAATACCAGAGATCTAGCCGACAAAGAAAATAAATTACCGAGGGATTCAGACACAAAAACATTGAGAATTCCCGATTTTCGGGAATCAGGTCGGCTAGCTCTCTGCTAGATACCCTATTATTGGATTAAGTTTTTCTGCGTAAAGAAGATAATTCAATAAGGTCAATCGGAGCTAATCAAATAAACTAAATAATTTTTTCCGAAACGAAGTGGAAAAGGGCAAGAAAGAGCGAAAAAAATTCCGATCAGCCCTGGTCAAACTGTAAACGATAAAATAAAAATATTTAATTATAATTTTTATTAAAAATAAGCAAATTAATATGTAAAAAAGAGGGAAAAAAGTTTAGAAAAGTAAGAATTATTATTATTTGTGTGCTCAAGTGCGTGCTGGAGTGCATTTTTTTATATTTATTTTCCCCTGAGTCAACATTAAAATTTTTGTTTATTTTTTTTATTTTTAAGGCCAGTGGCCGTGCCAGATTTGTGCAACTGACCAAAATGTGCATAAAAATATATTTAAAGACATTTCTAGGAAAGAAAAGTTTTTAGGGGTAAAAAAGAAGAAAAGCGGTAAAATTGCGTGAGTTTAAAAAAATAAAACAAAAAAACTTTCTAATTAGAAAAGCTAATACTTGACTTGAGGGTTTTAATTACTTGAGAGATATAATGGAATAATAGATTAGAATAATAATTTAGCTCAATTTTTTGATCTTTTCAGTGTTAGTGAGGTCCGATTAAATTGAAATTTTTATCAAAAACTCCACTTTAGAAACAGTATTACATAAAAAAGTTTTAACTTAAAAAGATTGGAAGAATAATAAAATTTTTCTGAAGAAATTTGTGTAATTTCACTAAAAATTACTCAAAATATTTTAAGAATGGGTTTCAAATCAAATTTTTGGTTCGAAAAAATTTTTTAACCAAATTCAAGCAAAATAATTTCAAACCAAATTTCAAACTAATTCAAACCAAATCGGTTTCGGTTAACTAGAATTTCGGTTCAGGTTGTCAGTTTGTTTTCGGCTAACCGAAATCTGTTCCTATTGAGGAACTGCCATTACATGTTATTCATATGGGTTGGGTTATTATTTGTTTTATCCAAAAAAGTTTAGGTCTGTGGCATAAATTAAAAGTTATTGATATTAATTAAGAAAAGGAACGCAACAAGTCAAGTATTAACAAAAAAGTTTAAAAATGTTAACTAAAAAAGCAAAATTATATTCTTTAAAAATTTTAGTAAAAAGATAAGAATTCTCAAAAAAATAAAAATTGAACGGAAAGAATTTTATAGACAAAAAGGAAGTAAAAACTATTAAAAAGGGGTAGGGGACGATTCAGTATCGCCGATTCAGTATCGCCAATTCAGTATCGCCGATTCAGTATTGGCCGATTCAGTATTTGGGCTTTTTGGCCATAACTTTTTGCTCGATCAATATTATAGGAATTATTATATATGATTTTATAGGCCTCAGGGTGCTGCATCTTTTTCATAATTGGACTGACCTGATCTTATCATTCTACAAAAAGTTATCATTGATAAACGACGTCACAGGCATAAAAAATCGGTTTTCACGCTGTAACTCTTTTTGAGATCATCAGATCTGATCGGGCCAATTATGAAAAAGATGTCGAATCTCGAGACCTTTCGAATGATATGAGAATTATTCGAATCGGTCGAATATCAGGAAAGTTATGACCATATACTGAATCGGCGGATACTGAATCGGCGATACTGAATCGTCCTTAACCGGTAAAAAGCAATTAAAAAATAAAAAAACATAGTAAAAATTTTTTTAATTAAAAAAAATTTAATTTTAAATAATTGTTTATTAAAAACACAAAAAAATTTTAAATAAAATATTCCAACTTACCAAAAGTAAAATGTTCCAATTTAGTCTTGGGTCTAGTCCATGAATGTGTCCGTTTTCTAGTTGTTGTAGTTGACGTTATTGTTGAGGTAGAGGGACTTGAAAATGATTTAGTTGAATATACAGATGTTGGTTTAGTTGGTGGAGATGTTTGGAATGTTGGTGGAAATGGTGGAGATGTAGATGTAATGGTAGTAATAATTCTTTGTGCTTCCCAATTGAGCGATTTAGAGATGATTGGAGTGAAGAAGCCTGTTTTAAAATAAAAAATTTTTTAATTTATTACAAATGTTTTATTTTTGCTTTAAAAAGAGTTCGACATTTTCAAATTTCCAGGCTCGGTTTTAACCTTTTTTCTGTCTGAAGCTGCAAAGACAAGAAAAACCAATAAAAGGATTTTATAAAATGCCCGGTTTCCAGGCAGTGGGGATCTGTGCTCGCCTTGGTGTCGAATACTAATTAATCTCTAATTTTAAATTAATCATTAAAAAATTTTTAAAGGTTATAAAAAATAAATTTATTATAACATTAAAATAAAAAATACACTAAAATGTTAAAATAAAAAATTTTTTAATATAAAAATTACGCATATTTTTCGAATATGTATATCAAGCTTAACAAAGTATTTGCAGGATAAATACGGCAAATGTGATAACTAAGAGTGTTAAAATTGTTATGTATAGGAGTGTATTTTATCGTAAATCTTTTACCCATTTATTCAACAATGATTTATAAGTATGTAATTCAAAAAATTAAAAATAAGAAATTCCAAAAAATAAAAAAATATCCCCAAAAATTTATTTTTTAATTTACCATTTTCATTATTTAAATAATCATTATTGTCTTCATTTGATTCACTTAAATGCAAAAATTGTGCCGAGGAAAATTTAGGTGCAGGAATTTGATAATGCTGTTCTCGGCACTTTGGTGAGTGCCAATCAATGAGGCATAGGATTGGCAAAGATGTGCTAGTAAAAAATGTTGAGGCAGGGGAGGGAGGAGAAGAAAATTGTTGCGCGGACATTTAATATTTTTGAATATGTTTACTAAATTTGGTATAAATTGTGTTTTTTGTTGAGAAATTGAATAAAAATATTTTTAATATTTATTAAATTTTGGGTTTATCTTTATATTTGAGCTGCTAAATAAATTAATTTTGGGTCTAAGCTACAGTGATCTCTCTAAAAGTCAAACGATTATTTTATCAAAAAAAACTATGGAGGGGGTGAGAAAGGGAGAGGAAGTGTCAGGGATGTTCGGAAAATGTTCGGCACGAACACCGAACATTTTTCGTCGCTAAACCCGATAAAAAGAAAATTTAAAAACCTGACCAGACTTTCTTCTTAACCTGTCCCATCCCTTAATTATATTTTAGAAAAATAGAGTAAATAAAAATTTTTTAAATTTAAAATAGATGGGACAATAAATTAAAAAATTTAGTCATTATAATGCTAATTACGTAAAGGACATAAAAACCTAGTTAATCCTTTGCATGTGTTCATTATTTAATGAGGACAGTATTAAATATTTGTTTGGGTTTATGAAAAAAATGACTATAAATTTTAACTTTTTAAATTTAATGCATGAAGCATAATGTCATATAATAAGAATTAGAGACAATCAGAGCTATTTTAAATCAAATAATCCTTGAGAATCGGAAAAGAAAATTTCAAAAATATCGGGATCCAAAATCGAAAATATTTTTCAAAGTCACGAAAATTCTCAAAAGCCGAAAATCGAAACTTCGTCAAAGTTTGGACCAGACAAGAAATGTCGTGCAAGATTTCTCGAAAAATCTTGAATCTCGATAATCTAGATCATTGTTCAAGATATCACAGCCATCATTGATATCGTATTTCCTCTAAAATAATCCCCCGGGGGTTATTTTTTCGATCGACCATTAGAGAAGGCTATTTTAGAGGGAGGGGTTATTTTAGAAGGAGGGCTATTTTAAAGAAAATACGGTATAAATTATTTTTTATTTTTAAGGAGTCTGCCAAGGATTAGAAGAACGATTGAGAAGGATATGAAAATTGAAAAAAATTATCTTTTGACCTAAATTTGAGATAAATTCAAAAGTTAAACTTGCGCCGTCTCATTAACGGCGTAAAACAAAACTAAAAATTAAAAAAATGTCTGACATGCTTTAAATCCCCTTAGCTCGGAATGTTTCGGCGTAGAAATACAATCTACTAGATTGTATGTATTTATATATTTATTGATAGAATATATACCTTTTTTTCTCATTTCTTTGGCAAACTTCCTCCTTGGCAATTTTTGTTGTTATTGAAAAAAATTGGTTTACATGAGAGTGCAAAAATGCGAGAAAGTGAGAAATACGGCGACACGACATTTGCGGACCGACATTTGCGGACCGACATTTGCGGACCAGACATTTGCGGACCGACATTTGCGGACCGACTTTTGCGGACCGACATTTGCGGACCGACATTTGCGGACCGACTTTTGCGGACCGACATTTGCGGACCGACATTTGCGGACCGACATTTGCGGACCGACATTTGCGGACCAGACATTTGCGGACCGACATTTGCGGACCGACTTTTGCGGACCGACATTTGCGGACCGACATTTGCGGACCGACTTTTGCGGACCGACATTTGCGGACCGACATTTGCGGACCGACATTTGCGGACCGACATTTGCGGACCGACTTTTGCGGACCGACACTAGAGTACCACCAAAAAACAAAAACGAAACAAAAATTTTACAAATTAGATAAAAATTTATTTCAAAATGTTTATCTCAAAATTTATTTCAACTAGAATGATTTTCTTATTCTGCACAGAGTCAAAGAGAAATACCTGAACGCAGAGTGGTCGACGCTAAGGAATTACAAAATATAATTATTGAGGTATTTGTATTTGGACTACTTAGTGTGTAGGGCAATTTTGCAAATGATTATAACGGTCAAAGATTTCTGCTTTATGACTCACGAATAGATAATCCGGATGAATCAGTCTTTTTTATATTTGCTACTGATCTGGGACTACAACGGCTCTCTACCTACAGAAGATGGTCTGGGGATGGTACCCCCTCTTTCTAAGTTAAGTACAAATGTTATAAGATTATTTTTATTATTGTAAGGATGATTCACCTAGCAGCATTTAAAACGCTTATGCGGGGGATAAATATTCAAAAAGGAAAAAGTGAAAGCATTAGTCGACGCCCCGGTAGCTCAGAGGTAGAGCTCCTGCATATAGTGAGCGAAAGCGCCTAGCAACAACTAGCAGGTGTCGCAGGTTCGAATCCTGCCCGGTGACTAAACTTTTGAAACTCTTTCTTTATTAAGGTTGATCATTGTGTTAAAAGAGGAGGAAAGAATAGCACAAGATCGCATAAGTACATACGAATTAGATCCAACGTTAGGATTAACTTTACGATCCAGAAGAAAACAATAATTGATAATGATAGAGCAATACGAACTTTAGTTGTTAATTTCGATGCAAATGCAAACCCAACTTCTGAGCAAGTGATTAACCACTTACGTGCTCTTCAATATAGATTAGCCTCAAATGGATTTGATAATTGGAATAACTAAATTTACGAATATTTTGGGCTGCGCTTGGTTTCGACCCCTTTTGTTTCGTCCCCCTGAACAAAAACTTTTGTTTCGTCCCACTAAGTTAATAATTGGCAAAAAGCAAAAAAAATTTTAGTTGAAATAAATTTTAAGATAAACATTTTGGCTGTAGTGTAGTGTACCGGTGGTAAAAGTTCGGGATGTGACATATGTCATTCGATTCGTCTCGACGAGCTGAGTCGAATGGTATCACTCCCTATTTTAGGAAATGATTCTGGACCGAGTTATAGGTCCCGAAAAATTGAAAAACCAAAGGGGGGAGTAAGCTCGATTTTGGGGTGAAAAATTCGAATATGCAAATAATAGCTCATTCGAAAGAGCTCGTCGAGCTGAGTCGAATGACACCAAAATCAACGAAATCTGACTTGATTTGACAAAGTTATGATCGTTTGTTTTAGCTCCTTACCTATGGCATCTGTGGAGATTTTTGCTACTATGGAGGCCCCAAATACGTCCATAGCAAGGAAGTTAGGAATAGGTTTATGTTACAAGCCCAGACCCATCGCCCGTAGACTCCCCGCGAGGCGCGTGCCGCAAAACCCCGCGCGAAGCGCGGGGTTTTGCACAAGCGCCTCGCCGACGCTCCATAGGTTTATGTTGTTTCCTTTTCTATTGTAACTTTGTCCAAACTTTTACAATCAAGCTGATTTTGATGTCATTCGACTCAGCTCGACGAGCTCTTTCGAATGAGCTATTATATGCTTTTTCGAATTTTTGACCCTAAAATCCGCCCTATGGTTTTTGACCATTTCGAGCCCTATATCTCGACTCCAACTTGTTCAATCAAGCTGATTTTGGTGTCATTCGACTCAGTTCGACGAGCTCTTTCGAATGAGCTATTATTTGCATATTCGAATTTTTCACCCCAAAATCGAGCTTACTCCCCCCTTTGGTTTTTCAATTTTTCGGGACCTATAACTCGGTCCAGAATCATTTCCTAAAATAGGGAGTGGTACCATTCGACTCAGCTCGTCGAGACGAATCGAATGACATATGTCACGTCCCGAACTTTTACCACCGGTACACTACACTATATCCAACATTTTAAAATAAATTTTTATCTAATTTGTAAAATTTTTGTTTTGTTTTTGTTGGTACTCTAGTGTCGGTCCGCAAATGTCGGTCCGCAAATGTCTGGTCCGCAAATGTCGGTCCGCAAAAGTCGGTCCGCAAGTGTCGCACCCCGAGAAATACATAATTCTCACCTATATAAAAGTAGGGGTTGAGTGGATTGAATAAAGAAAAATAAAAAACCTCTAAAAAATGTGTTAAAAAAGGGGGGATATCTTAAAAGAAGAGAATTTAATAAAGTCTTGTTTGAGGCAAAAAATAAAGTTATTCAAATTTATTTGGTTTAGCTTGCAAGAAAATTTGATGAGAGATTTTATAATAAAAATCTTTGAAATTTGAACTTTTGAAATTTGAACGTGTGAAAGGATATCTATGATACATTATGAGATAACTTTATTATGGCATATAATTATGAGATAACTATGTATTCACAGCCTAAAGCTAAGAAAGTCAAGAAAAAACAAGACTCACTAGTATATTAAAAAAAGCACTAATACTTAAAAAAACTTTTCTTATCTTGTAATATTTTTTGAAAATAATAGACTCAAGAGATTAAAAACACTTCGTTTAAATAAAAAAATTCAGGCCAAAAAATTTTTTTGAAAAAATAAAAGTTAAAAAAAAGAAAAATTTTAAGGCGGAAATTTCCCCAAAAACAAACTCTTTTATTCTAAAGTTAATATTTTTTGTTTTATTTTTAGTACCCGAAATGGTCATTTAAAAACAAAGGAAAGATTGAAAGGCGATTTTGGCCAACCTTCCAACGCCATTTATATTTTTACACTTTTTAGGCTTCCCATGGGATAAAATGTTTGACCGTTGAGTTGAGATATCTTTTTGAAAATAATTTTTTTATGAAAAAAGTTATTTTTGAATAAGTAATTTGTTGTTTTAAGTGCCGAAAACGATTTAAAAATATAAAAATATAGGTTAATGTTGAGTGGATAAATAATAACAAGAATAAAAATAAAAAATCTCGAAAATCAAGACTTAAAATAGCTCTGATTTTAGCTCTGTGGTAAGCGAAAAACGAATGAGATCGAATGAATATCCGACTAGTGTGGAGGATCCGATCTTCCCTCCAGCGGAAGATAGAAACTTTAATACTCAGAGTAATTTTCAGAGCATTTACGGTATCTTCCCCTAGATAATTTTTTATCCTAGTATTTCTGAAAATTGGTAGGCCAATAAAAGATTGGTAGGCCAATAAAAGAGCTTTTGAACTGAAATAGAAATTATTTTCTTAGTATTTAACTTTGACCAAAATATTCCAAAATTTAAACAAATTTTAAAATTGAAGAAATTTAAAAGAAAATTTTTTAAAATTATGTATATTAAAAACGGAAATTATTTTTTCAAGTAATTTTTAAAAAATAAAATTCCAAGAGGAATAGCAAAGCACACATTTTTTCGCGCAATAGAAGTAAATTGGTACAAAAATCTCCAAAATTTCAAGGAAACCAATTACCAATTTTAAGTGGAATAAAGAAAAAAAGGAGGGAAGGCTTGAAAAAAAAAGAAAAATTAAAGGAGGCAAACGAAATTATGGCTGCCATTCAAAGGCTAGATATAGTACATAATGGTTGTTAGATAATTAAAGCTAAAAAGGGG